AATGTTTTTTTTTTTTTATCATTACATTGAAGTACATTAGGATAGATAAATCATTTCCTTTCATAACAAGGCATGAAGAAAGATGACAACATGTGCTGTAGACGCATATGTTCCCATATCTCACGCATATTTTTCCCACGCATATGGGAAAAAAATATTTTTTTTCTCCTGAACTGAAGCCTTTTTTCAATCACAGAGTGTAACTGCACGGCCATTGGTTAGAAATGAACAAATGCGACAAAGCCCGCCAGAGCCCGCCAGAATGGGCGGGGCCATCTGGCTATATAACCGGGCACTTTACCACAGGATCTTCAGGTTACTTCGACTGAAGCGACGACTGAGTCGTGCAGCTACATAGCACGGCAAGCAACACAGTACTCGTTCCCGTATCAGGGAACCGAGGTTACGTTAGTAACCGAGTACGTTCCCTTTCGATACTTCACTCGTACTGCGTCTGCTTAAGACACATATGGGAACATAGTCCAATCATGCCGTGCTGATGTAGTGGAACGACTTAAGGTATAACTTCCATAAGCAACCAATGCCTATAGAGAAGTCAACAATAACCCAAGGCTAAAGCAGGCTGAGCTTTCTAGGTCACACCCGGCCTGGTTAATCGTTCCAGAGTATCCCCGTAACTTCGACACCCACGGGTCGAGAGATAACAGGTGAACAATGCCAAAGAACTTGGGCATGTAGCACGGCCAAGGGCTCTCTGCCATATCTGTGAACGCAAGCGCGTGTCATTTCAAGCGGAAAGGACCCTGGCCTGTAAGGCCGGGACTTCCAGGTTATAAAACCTTGCAAATGTGGACGGCGAGGCCCAGCCGGCCGCCTCACAAATATACGCAATGGACACACCACTGGACCATGCCCACAACGAGGCGATGCCTCTAGTCGATTGGGCCTGTACTCCGATGGGGCATTGGAGGCCCACGGAAGAGTACGCTAGCAAGATGGCGTCTACTATCCATCTAGAGAGTCTTTGCTTCATAACCGGAAGCCGGTTTGGTGCGGTTACCGAAGCTGACAAAGAGTTGTTCCGATCGCCTATAGGGGGCGGAACACTCAATATAGGTTCTCAATGCTCTGACGGGGCAGAGCAGAGATAGCTCTCTGTCCTCTTCAGTTGGAGGAAGCGCGGAGAGCGTAATGACCTGTGCTCTGAACGGAGTGGAGAGCACTTTAGGTACGTAACCGTGCCTCGGTTTCAGGACGACTTTAGAGTCGTTAGGCCCGAATTCCAG